GGGGGCAGAATGGGGTTGTCAGTTTGAGCATGTTTCATGTTACATCATGAATATGGGTGCAACATGAAACATGGTCACATGGTCAGAAAGGTAAACACCGGCTGGGTCATATTTTTTTCATTCAGCCTTACAGACTGAGCAAAAACAATTACAGAAACCTTCATCCAAGCTAACATTGAGGCTGAATGAATCTTTTGATGTTGTTTCACTGTATTCGGACAGAGGTTCTGGCCTCTCAAAACACCCACACAGTGCTTGCAAATTTTCTGTGAGTACCTAGCTTTAGCCTTTGAGAGAAAATAAATAATAAATATCATTTGTATTCATTATATGTATAGTCAAAAATATGTTTTATTTTGGGAAGGGTTTGAGTCCCTGTAATTGAATGTTTTGGTGTCTGTGTTCCATTGGGGAGATTATCTGCACTTCCTGTCCCAAAGAAGCAATGAAAGTTAGAAAAACATTACTACAAGGTGAGGGGAATTCCTTCTTAGACAGGTGTCACTGGAACAGATGCCCCATTGAAATATTTACTGTCACTTCTTGTTCTAGAGACAACCATTTTTGATTTCCCATCACTTTTTGTTTCTGTGACAATATTTACCAGGACAAATGGAGATGGTGAATCAAGTTTTGGCTATAGATATACCTTAAACCAGTCACATAGACATATAGACTTTATATCATCTTTCTATGTATAAAGTAATCACCTTTGTACTGTTATAGATTGCTTAGTAAATGTTTCAGAAGAAAGGCAACCCGTAACAATCTATGAATCTTATTTACCAAAACTCACCCATTAAACAAACAAGCAGTAAATATGAAACATGGATAATAAAATGTAATCAACAGGCTTGCACCAATGATTTACTTTATTTACTGCTATTTTAAGGACTGGATGTCATTTACAAATTGTGAAACTGTAACGAATACAGCACACACATCTTGTTTCTGTTTTCTTTTTAAGAGTTCTTAGGAAACATCTTGGAGAGCAAGAAGTATCGATCTCATTAATATTTGATTCAGTTCAAGATTCTGACTTAGGAAATTACTCCTGTTATGTTGAGAATGGTAATGGACGACACCATGCTAGTGTACTCCTCCACAAAAGGGGTAAGAGTTCTCAGTGTTATTATTATTATTATTATTATGACTGTTTTATTTGACTCAATCAATTTTCAGGAATATGTTACTGCTACTAGTGTCCCCATTGTGCTTGTGTCCTAATTTTCTAAAGAAGATAGACAAGGGCTGGTTGAAATTGCTATGAAGAAAATTAGTACCTTTCTCTAGTGATATTTTAACTGATCTGGTAAAGCTCACATTCTTGTTACATTCAACGATACATTCTTACATTCAACTATAATGTGACATGTCCCATAATTGCTAACCACGGTAGCAAAAGTGTGTTTATTAAAAGAAGGAGCAACTTTAAAAAAAAAACATGTTCTGTGTTGATGTAACACGTGTGGGTATTTATTATTACAACAAGCATTTGCAAGGGGCAGCATATAATATCTAACAAACACTTTTACTTTTAGTTCAGGCCCAATGGCTAGAGAGTAGACATCTCCGTAATAGAGATGGCTACAACAATGAAATTCAAATACTGTAAACCCATTCAATTCAAGACCAAGCCAAAAAAACAATAAAAACTGTATGACTTTACGTTTACCATTAACCTCCCTGGCGGTATTCCCGAGCCACACTTGGGATTGCGCAAAAGTGTCACTTACCTTGTCCCTGCGGTGTCCTCTGCTGTGTTCACCCGGCCGATGCCGGAATTCGGCTTTCAGTTTCGTTTTCGGGCGTCACAGCGCGGGGCGGAGCCGGTATTTATGATTTCGTGTTTCAAACTTTATCATACCCGGGATGTCTACTGGACTCTGTTTGGACAGATTTAGGCGAGTTATTCCTAAGATTTACTAAGAATTACATGCCTACAATATAAAACAAATTGCCATGAAAAACAATGTACCACTTTGGCATGCTAAAATCCTGCATAATCATACCGCCAGGGAGGTTAATTAAAAATCAGTGTTCAGACCTCAAGTTCTAGGAAACTATAAGATCTTTAGCATGTGCTTCTTGAAGTAATAATACATTTGATGAAAAAGCTAAGAATGCATACTTGTCTGAGTACTACATCTCCCATAGGGCGGGAACAATGTTAGTTTACTATTGGCTATTGCAAATTGAAATAGCCAATAGCAATGTCCCAATGCTTTTCAAATGGGAAAATTCTCTTTTTTTTCTAGTCTGACATCGATTGTGTCAAAATAAAGAAAAAAAGACACATCAGTGTTTCTCTCATGGGCGGCCGGGAGCAGGAGGCTCCCAGAGCGCCCGGGAGAGGTTTTTTTTCATTTTTTTTTTACATCATCAGAGCCGTCGGACAATAGAAAACTATTGGGCGGAGCTAGCTATCACTGCTAGCTCCGCACAATCGTTTTCTATTTACTTTTTTTACTTTATTCACTCTTTTTCTGTTCTGCTCGGTCCCTCACTGCTGTTCTGCATTTTTAAGAATAGCCCGCACAGCAGTGAGAAGCCTGCCGGAGGTTCGGCTCACCTGATCCAGATGTTGGATTGGCTGAGTCAAACTCCTTCTGCACTTCGGGTCGGCCGAACATGCAGAGCATGTTCGGCCGACCCGAAGACACTCGAAGCAAGCCGATGTACGGCTGAAAACAGCCGTACCAGCCTGAAGTGAATAGCCGAACAGTGTTCGGCTCACTTCACTTCAGATCGGTCATTCACTCAGCTGCCCTCGGCAGCTTGGTGAATAGACCCCTTAGGTTTTCTACCTCTACCACTGCAAGACTGAGGCAGGGGGGAAGGGAGGTCGCGGGCTCGCAGGGACAAGGTAAGTGTCACTTTTCTCTGCAGCCCCGAGTCTGGTTCGGGGTTACTGCTCCTGGTATGGAAAATTCACCCCGAGCCAGACTCGGGAATACCGCCAGGGAGGTTAAGTGTTCAATACCAATAGGAAATGTTGGTGCTTTTTACAGGGTGACAATTCCTGTTCATTTGAAAAAGAGCAGGAATGCCTACACAATATTATGGGGTCTATTCACAAAGCTGCCGAAGGATCTAGCCGTAGCTTCGGCTGATCCTTCGCTAGCTTCGGCCCCAGGACCCCTTCAGTTCAGTAGAACCGAAGGACTGCTGTGCGGGCTATTCACTATAGCCCGTACAGCTCCCGCAGTCGCCCGAGCGTATGTCTCGGCTCGACTGAGCCGAGGTGAAAGACAAAGCTGGCCGAACTGCCTGCTACTTACAGCTGGGCGGAGCCAGCCGTCATCTCACGGCTGGCTCCGGCCACTTGCAGAGACAGATCAGTGTGCCCTGGTTACCACTCCGGGAGTCTCCCGCTATTAGATAGCGGCTCCCAGCCGCCTGGGAGAGAAACACTTTCCCTGCTCTGTTGTTTTTTTGTTTTTTTTGTTGCTATCTGCCATCATTTCAGGGGGCTGCTCTCTCCCCCTGCATTAAAATGAGAGCTTAGCAGAGTCGGAGGTGATATGAAAGCCGACTCTGCTGAGCTCGCATGGTACTGACAATTCAGCGTCCCCTGGTTACTTGGCTATTTAGGGGACGCTGATCTTTTTTTTTCTACTTTTTTCTACTTTTTCTATTCTGCTCGGGACCACAGAGGTTCCAAGCAGAATAGCCGGCGGCATTCGGCTATTCACTCACTGCTGTTCGGCATCTATGAGAATAGGCCAAACAGCAGCGAGAAGAACTCCTTCTGTACTTCGGGTTGGCCAAACATGCTGAGCATGTCCGGCCAACCCGAAGCAAGCCGTAAATCAGCCGTACAAGCCTGAAGTGAATAGCCAAACAGCGTTCGGCTCACTTCAATTTGGGTCGGTTATTCACACGGCTGCCCTCGGCAGCTTTGTGAATAACCCCCTATATTTTAGAAAGGAGAAACTGAGGAGACAGGATGTGAACACTGCGGTCACGGAAATCATAGCTGCCGTTACTGAAATCATTATGAACTTTCCATATGGCCCAACCTAAACAGAGCGGGCTTGGAAAGAGGATTGAGTGGGTAAATCGTTTTTTTTAGCTGTGTGTGGAATTTGTAATTCATATATTCAAGACTTTTGTTTTCAGAAAAGCAGTAAGGGTTAGCCTGGAACACAGATGGTATGCTTACGTATTACATGTTATACAGTTGTTTGAGACCATACCCAGTTAAGTTCAAGCACCTGTAAATTTTTCTAGCTATATCAAGCTATACAGTATATGCAAATGTTAGGAAAAAGATTTGCAAACCTTATTTCACGCACATAAACATATGTAGAAAGGAGCCTAGATATTTGCTTGTTTCCTTTAAAGTTGACCACACTCCAAAATAAACTATGCCCTGGGCTTACGTTGGGAATTAAAGTGGACCTAAATGTAAAAATGGAAGGTTAACTGTGCCTAAGTAGTATACTGAACAATTTACCAGATGAACAGCACTTCCTGTGGCTATGCACTCCTGTGCTTACAGTCTCATAGCTTTGCAGTGTAAGCTCATCTAAGGCACTGCTTCTTCTCATTTCTATTCTTATGAGAGTTAGAGGGTTATTCACTATAGAGCCGAAGAATCCAGGATAGCTTCGGGCTATTCACTATAGCTCGTACAGCAGTCGAAGGCAGCCAAGTCTCTGAGCTGAGCCGAACGCATATGCTCCAGCTTGGCTGAGCAGTAGCGACAGCCGAAGCAGGGAGAAAGGTCGGCCAAAGTCGACTGTCCTCCCGGCAAAAGATAACAACTGGGCAGAGCCAGCCATGATGTCACAGATGGCTTCGTCATGTTGTACTGTAATGAAAGATCAGCGTCCTCAAATGACATGGGGACACTGATCTGTCATTAAACAACAACAACTGGGTGGAGCTGGCCTTGACATCACTGCCGGCTCCACCCAGTAGTTTTCATTTGCCTGGGACCTGCTGGAAGACTCTGGCAGGTGCTGGACAAAAGTAAACAGTTGAGTGAAGCTAGTGGTGATGTCAATTGTTTATATTTTCCCGGCATGACCGAAGGCAGACGATATATGGCTGATTTTAGCCGATGTACAGCTGAAATCAGGGAGACTGAGCTGAAGTAAATAGCCAAACGACGCTCAATTCACTTTGACTCGGTTATTCACTCAGCTGCTTTCGGTAGCTTTGTGAATAACCCCCTTAGAGTGGGACTTAGTGATGTCAATACTTGTCTGCTAACTTTGTCTTTGCTGGAGAGAAATCTGTACCTATAGTGCAAGGATCTCCCTGCTTCTGTTTTGTATCATGTGGATCTGTGCTTTCTGCTGCTTCATGAATCTTACCATTAATCAAGGGGGGGCAGCTCTGACACAAGGAAGAAGATCCCTACTCCTCTGCCAAGATGGTCCCCACCTTACAGAGACACTATGCAGAACAAGACATGGTAAATCAGTTATGGAGAAAAGATCAGCTGCAGGAAGTCTGCAGGACATACTGGTGACTAGTCCATTGACATTGCTTGCCTTTTTTGGGCCTCTTTAAGAACTGCTGTGCAAGTTGAGCAAGAATTTACTTTCTTGAAAGCACACAACCTTCTCAATAACTTGAAACTAGTTTGTATTTCACATGTTTGGAAATGTCAAGGGAGAATATGTACAGTACACAGAATCAGCAGCATAGCAAGGAAGACAATTTTGCTAAAAGTACTAACTGCAATGTTATTGCTTAAAAATATACTTGTTTAAAAGACATGTAAACAATATTATTAGAATAATTTAACCCTTTATTAAAATAATTTAACCCTTTATAAGTATTTATGTTTTGTGCTGTAAAATTTTTAATTTATTCATTCATTAAATACAATTTAAATGTATTTTTTCCAGCTTTGCTACCTTGAGTTTATTTTTCAACTGTGGACAAAACATAGCATTCATCATTCATGCTATTGAGACGAAATGTGTAATATTTTGTGAATACACAGTAAGGTGCCTTTTTTAGATCCACACACGTAAAATGACAGCACATCAATTAGAGCTATTTAATTATCCTAAGAAGATGGCCATACAAAACACAATTAAGCCAACAGAGGAGCTTGATTTGTATTCTTATGAATATGCTTGTAGTAAGCATAA